GTGTTGATTGACAAGCAGGGAATTGACCGGGAACGCTACATGGAACCTGTCACCCCCGAGGAAATCTTCACATTCATTGATGACTACCTACTGAACAATCAGGAGCTGACCCAGCGCCGGGAGCAAAGGGACATATGCGAGTGAACTTGAGCCAGGGCATAATTGAGGTCAAGGGGAAAAAAAGGTCCCCTAGTCAGTTGAAACTTGAGGCCTAATAAATGGAGGAAATGGTTTTCCCACAGTTCTAAGGATAGGACTCTGAAGTGGGTGAGATTCACCAATCTTGGGACATTCCCAAGGCCCCTTTTTAGGGCTGTGTAATAGTTTCCCCAAGCAAGTTTCTGCTTTCAGTAGCACTCGAGGAACATAAGAAGCTAGGCAGGAACTGATGACAGGTCCTGGATAACGGGCTGGGAGTGACAGTCTTCTTTTCCTAACCTGGGCCTCTGCACAGCTCTCCAAAGTAAATTCTGAATTCATTCACTAACTGGCTGTTTTAAATGGTTCCTCTATCCTGAGGTGACAGCAGAGAGCAGCACCATCACAACAACCAGGAAACTCAAGCAAATGTAGCTGGATTTTCCCACAGACTAACTGTATCCTTGGAGGTGGTGGGAGCATCAAAACATTCTCGAACTTGTCATTTCCTTTTAGGGTTTGGGTTACAAATGTTATGTTAAACATTGCTTCATCTAAGAATAAGGAAAATGCTGCAATGGGAGGCAGCTTGGGAAGAAAGAGCAGGCCAGAGCAGAATCTCTTGTCCTGGCTCTTCCAGCTGACTCATGGGCAACAATCTCTTCTACTGAGCCTCCAGTTTCATAGCAAAAGGTACCAGTTCTGTCCCTTCTTCAGGGAAGCTCCCAGCTCATGATCTAGGGAACTTTGAAAACACCACTCCAAGCCTCTGTAAAACTAAAGAGTAGAGAAGGAAAAAAGACAGATTCAGCCACATATATTAACTTAGCTAATCACTTTTAAGAGAGGACTACAGGGCACCTGGGTGAATCAGTCAGTTAAGCATCTGACTGTTGATTTCGGCTCAGGTCATGATCTCATGGCTTCGTGGGTTTGAGCCCTGCATCAGGTTCTGTGCTGGCAGTATGGGCCTGCTTAGGATTCTCTCTCTCTCCCTCTCTCTGCCCCTCCTCAACTTACCCTGACCTCTGACTCTCTCAAAATAAATAAATAAAGTTAAGAAAAAGAGAGAGCTGAGCACAGAGCAGGTGGGAGCTACTGTGGCACAAAGTCAAGCCTTAAGAGCCACACCTGAAAGTAAATTTGAGCCTGGGCTCTTGTGAAATGGAGCAACATTCTATGGTGCACCAGTGTTTGAAAGAAAGGTGTTCTTCCTATGCTGCTGAGAACTTTCTTTTCTATACTCATGGAGCCTGATGTCATGGTTAAGACTCAGCAGCCTTTCTCCTTCAGCGTTGTGTAGGAGTCACCAGTGGAAAATTAGAGAAGCAGGCTGAATGGAGAGGCAGAGCTAATGCCTGAGCACTTACTATATGCCAGGTGCCATTCCAAACTGTCTATCATTTGACTCTGAAATCTTTACAAGAACTTTATAAGGCAAGTCTCATTTCACAGATGAGGAATTTGAAGCACAGAGAGGTTAGGCAACTTGCCTAAGATCAGACAGCTAGTAAGTGCCACAGTTGGGATTTAAACACCAGCAGTCTGGTTCCAGAGTCACTGTTCCTAAATATTATGCTGTACTGCCTCTATTTTTTTCTACTTTTTACTTATAGACAGGTGACTACTCCAAGAAAAGGCAAAGGTTTCAGTTTCTATATACAATCCTACTCAGACACAAGACTCAGGAATGGGTCCTGGAGGTAAAAGAGAAATGGAAGTCTTTCAACCCAATGAAGAGGAATGGGGCATAAATCATGAGCCCAGAACATATGGAGGTAGTAGTGAGTCAGAGAGAAGCTGTTTTCACTGCAGGCTCTGTGGAAATCTCATTTTTTTTAATGAAAAATAAAAAGCTAGGTAATTGCTGAGTGGAACAGGACATGGAGTAAATGACGAAACTTGGAGCAAAAAAGTCCCTTCTTCCTCTTCCTTCCAAGGAAATACAGGAGCTTGAAAGTCAAAAGACAAGTTATGGGCAGCAGATGAAATCCAATGAGCTAATGTGGGAAATCTCCTGTCAGACAGGTCTGTGGTTACAAAGGCAAAGACTGCACATTAGTCAAAATAAATGCCCTTCCTTGTGTTTATCACTTACACCTCAAGTGGCAAGCCAGGGCATGCTAGCAGGTCAAAGGCCCAAATGATAACATGAAGAGGCCCACCGCCTTTTGAACCAAGTTTCTTTCTGGGCCTGACTTTCACATCAAAATGCTCCTCTAGTTTAAAAAAATTGAGAAGCTTTTGTTTTGTTTTATTTTATTGAGTAGTCAGGCAAGTCAATCTTGCTTTCTTTAGGTAAAGTTTTACTGTAATTTCTTTTGCATTATGATGCAAGAAATTCCAGCTGCTAAAGGAATGGAAGCAGGTATCAGCAGAATCAGGTTCATAGCCAGACTATCCTTACCCCCAACCTTATACATATCTGCTTCTGTTTTCCTCTCTCTGCCTTCCATCTCCCCCAAGATCTGTCTCTCTGTCTCTGTCTCTGTCTCTGTCACACACACACACACACACACACACACACACACACACACACACACACAGTTATTGAATCGGTCAGCTGGTTAGGTAACATCCAAAGCATTCTGGTTTTTTACTTTGCAAAATAAACCAACTTCTTTGAGATATTTTAAAAGAAAGGACTCATCTATTCCTCTGAGCCTTTGCCCATAATGCAAGTAACATCCTCGCAGGAAGCAGCATGGTAGAGTCAGATCTTAATTCAAATTGTAACTCTGTTGCATAAGAGTGGGCTTGACTTTCCTAATCTGTAAAATGGGAAATTTTCCTACTTCATAAGGTGCTTGGAGAAATTAAAAAATAATACACAATGTGTCTAGCATAAAGGTTTGAGGACATCAGAGAGAAAAGGTGTTTGATATATATTAATGCCTTTTTGCACAAGAGGTCAAGAGTCACTTGGGCTCTACCTCGAAACCCAGGTTTCTCAACCCAGGGCCTTGTTCCTGAGATGGGTTTGCTTACTATATGTGTTAATCATTTCTCAAGACTAAATAATGGTAGTAGGAGCAAAGGGGTCAGGGGAAGGCCCTACCTCCTAGAGATACTGAAGGATCCAGAAAGAAACACAGCAGAGAACATCTTCCTTCCCCTGTGCACATGTCTCTCCTTCCTTGTGGTAGGGGACTACAGAGCTAAAGGAAGAGTTCCCTTGGTAGTTTAGAGAGGGGAAAAAAAGTGGTGCAACTTTTAAAATGGATTCCCAGTTCTCTCTGTAGATACCAAACACAAAGGTCAATGGATCAGAGCTCAGCAGAGGTATCAGGCAGCAATGTAGGGAAAGGGAAATTTTATTTGAATCCACACAAAATGGTTAGGGAAGGGCATCTGTCACTTTGGTTCTTCTCTTTCAAGCCACTGAGCAGCAACAACAGTAAGTGAGCACATCAGAGAGAAAAGCATCTATAGAACTAACAAAGGCAAACATTTAACAGGTGAAAAAGCTTTATTGAAACACACATACATTATAGGGGGTAGAGAACAAAGGAGCAAGTTACAGCTCAGGATCCCAAATGATGCTTTCCATTACAATATTAATCCATACCAAACAAACGTTTTAAAAACACTCCTCCATTCAGTTCACACGTACAATAGAAACCACTGCAGCCATCCCCAGTCCAGTAGCCTTATAGGAGAGTCAACAAGCAGACTCTACCAAAAGGAATTTCTTCTCCGGTGTAGACTCCTTTCACAAACAACTCGGTGTAGGTAACGTTGCAAGAATAACAAGGTCAGTTTGGTCCAGGGAGTTTCAGAAAATGAACCTTAGATCACCAGACCCTTCTTAGAAAGGTCTCAATGTTACATCTAGGTCAAGTATAGGACAGAATAGAAAAGATATAAAGTGAAACCACTTCAAGAAGGAAGTCAGAACAACTGGAAGATTCTCTGAACACATTCTCTTGGAGCCCTAACAGTGCTCAGTCTGAAGAAACACTGGGCCAATTTAGACAGTAGTTGGCTATTCTGGCTGGTGTAATGGAATGTCGACCATATTCTGTGTGGTACCACACCACAAACACAAATGCTAAGAAAGATGTGGTATATGAAGGTGATGATGTCTTGTCTTTTATTAGAGAAATGAGGAGCTCTCAGACAACAGGTTTATCTGTATAAAATTCAAGGATCCAGCATGGGCTGGGAGACATTTTACTCTCAGTCACTCTGGTCCTATGAGACCACTGAAAAGCCATTATGGGCATGTCCATGACTCAGTCAAAAGGCCACTATCTAATTAAAGTGTTTTTTCTAAAGTAGTTACATTATAAGGGTCCCCTAAAGCTCTAGGGAAGGTGTATGGAGCTCCAAGGAACTTATGAGTTCTCTTAGCATTTCAAATAAGACCATTAGACCAAAGCAATATGGAAATTGCTTAAAAACAAGAAGAGTTAAAATCCAAGTTCCAGAAACTTATCAAGGTAAAAATAGAGTTCAAAACATAAATTGGAAAGGAAAGGGCAGACCTACTCCCTTCTCTCCCATCTTCTCCTGGCTTTAGTAATCCAACCCTGCTTTCCAGAGTCTTGGCCTCGGACCTAGACACATGCCAAAAGTAGCCAGGGCTTCCTGGGAAAGTAGGAAAAGAATTGTAAGACAGGAGATAAAAACTTGTTTTACAAGATTTTTTAAATTAATTGAACATCATAAAGATAAAAGAATGGACTCTGGAAATATACTAGATTATGAAAAATAAAAACATTTTGAACAGACCCGTATTCTTGAGCCTGCTTTACAAAGAGGAACAAATCTTCATCACTCTAGCATAATGAGATTTGTAGAAATATGTGTTTATACACACACACATATAAAACACACACACACACACACACACACACACACAATAAATCTTTGCTCTTGGTTTCTTCGCTTCCTCTGACTTGCCCTGGACAGGGCTGGACCTGCAGAAAAGGACAGGGACTCATAAGCCCAGCTTCTGCTTGGCCATCGAGGAACGGAGCTGCAGAGTCCCTTCTGCCCAAGACCCTGGGTACTGTCGCATCTTCTGCCACAGGCTCACTTCTTCCCCAGTCGAGTCCATCCAGTCCACCACTTCCCCATTACTGATCCCTGAGGAGAAACACCAGAGGAAGCTGAACAAGGAACCCACTCCATAGCCTACCGGAAAAGATGGGTTATACAGCAAGGGTAGCCATCCCATAAAAGTGTGCTACAAAGATGGGTTGATGGGATGACAGCCTGCAAACCGCTCCTTGTGACCCTCCAAAGCTATTACTGTGCTCCTGAGACTCTATCAGGAGACTTCAGTTTGATGAAATGAGACTCCAAACAGCACATAGGAGCCTCGGAACTCTTATTCTGGGGCCATTACAGGGCTCTCGTGTCTGACACCTCATACCAGAGCTACTGCTCTTCTGTTATTGCCAACTTAACTGAAAATTTAAAAAAAAAGAAAGAAAGAAAAAGAAAAAAAAAAAGGAAGTAGCAGCAGCATCTGAACACCTTTTTCTCCAACTGTAGACTCTAGGCCTAGATTTCAGAGTGTATGTCCTAATCTCTTGTACATTCATTCTTTCAACAAACATTTACTGATTGCCTACTATGTACCAGGCACTCTTCTGGGCTCTGGAGATACAGTGATGACAAAAAAGTTCTGCCTTGCAGGCAGCTTACATTTGGACAGGGAAAGCAGGAAATATACAAGTAAGTGAAAAGTACTTCAGATAGTGAGTGAGATATGTGTTATGAAATAAATAAGCAGGATGATCTGTAGTGCCTAGATTAGGACCTCATTTACATGGAGTGGTCTGAGGGCCTCTCCAAGGGGACATTTGGGTCAAGCTCTGAAAGATGGGAAGGAGCCTTCCTATAGAGCCTCCCTATAGAGGTTAACTATAATTGCAAAGGTTATGAAGTTGGAATAAGGTTGGTATGTTTGGAGACAGGAAAGAATCATTGTGTTTGGAGCATAGCTGAACAAATAAGAGAGGGATATAGGATGGATCATAAATGAACAAAGGGTCCAGAATCTATAGGGGCCTATCAGAATGACAAGAACTTTGGACTGTCTTCTAAAGTACAGTAGTAAGCCACTGAAGGGTCTTAAGCAGGGGACTCATATGACCTGGCTTACATTTGTAAAAACATCATTATAGACACTTTGTATTAAATGCTTTGTATGATTTATTAATACACAAGTAGTATTAAAGGCTGCAGGCATGTAGACACTGTAGAAAGGAAAAAGAGGGTTCAAGGCTAAGCCTTGAAAAGCACCAATATTTAGAGTGGGTAGACAATGGGAAACACACAAAGAAAGGTGTATATCAGTAGAAGCTAAGTAGTTCAAAAAAGGGGAATGATCAGGGTGCCTGGGTGGCTCAGTCAGTTAAGTGTCCGACTTCAGTTCAGGTCATGATCTCACAGTTCATGGGTTCGAGCCCCATGTCAGGCTCTGTGCTGACAGCTCTGAGTCTGGAGCCTGATTCAGATTCTGTGTCTCCCTCTCTTCTGTCCCTCCCCTGCTCACACACTCTCTCGTTTAAAAATAAACTTGGGGTGCCTGGGGGGCTCACTCGGTTGGGTGTCTAACTTTGGCTCAGGTCATGATCTCACGGTTTGTGGGTTTGAGCCCCGTGTCAGGCTCTGTGCTGACAGTTAGCTCAGAGCCTGGAGCCTGCTTCAGATTGTGTATCACCATCTCTCTCTGACCCTCCCCTGCTCATGCTGCCCCTCTCTCTCTCTCAGAAATAAATAAAAACATAAACAAATAAAATAAAAATAAACTTTAAAAAATTTTTTAAAAGGGGGCAGTGATCAGCTATGCTAATAAATAGCACAAAAATTCTAGTAAGATGAAAACAAAATTTTGTCATGAGCAATTGCTTAGTGGACTGGTAAGACAGAAGCCAGATGACAGTGGATTGAGGACTAAAAGAGATGTGAGGAAGTAGAGACAATTTAAGAAATTAGAAGGGGGATGTGGGATCAAGAAAAGGTTTATTTCTGTTTCTTAATATTGGAAATACCAGAGCTTATCTGTTTTCATCTCCAGGACGGTGGCAGAAAGAATAAAAGTGATCAGACAGAAGAGAGAAGAGATTCCAGAAGTAAGGTTAGGAAGCTGAGGGTGTGATCCAAAACACTTGGAAAGAGCTTGGCCTTTGCTAGAAAGGACTCTTCTTTCACTATAACAGGATGGAAGATGGAAATTATAGGTGCAGATACAGGTAGGTTTTTAGATTTTGGGGGTGGTAAGATGATGGCATTCTTGGCAATCAGGGTCACATTTATCTGTACACATAACAGTGCATGTGCTCAGCCTTCCCCTGGGTCTGCACATAGAAGGCACTCAGTAATATTGGCCAAATGTTAACTGAAAGGAAAGAAGAGAAGTCTTGCCATAGAGGAGCTTTGAAGGAAAGGGGTTGGGTATAGTAGGAGTGAAATACACAAGAAGCCTTTAAAATAGTCAGGATTGGGGAGAGGCTCTCACCAGTGCCAACACCCAGCCTGACCCCTCCCAGGAAGTCATTGCTGGCCAGGGGCTCCCGGTCCCACACAGTCAGTTCCAGGCACATGTGTTGTAGATCTTCCAGCCTCACACCATTGTAGACAAATGTATGGTTGTAGTGGGGATTCAGGGTCTTCTTCATCACAGGAGTTTTACGCTTACTGGCCTTGTTCCTCATGGGAAGGAGGTATCTGGCAGAGGTGGGAAGTAATCAACAACCTACTCAAAACTGGCAAGTATCTATCTATCTAAATTACCCTTCCCTAGCTAGCCCAGGAAGGTAACTCAACATTCAGATCCAAGTACACACACTCCCTCCTTTCAATATGCTGAAGCAGAGTTCCCACTACTTCCACTAGACCATTCACCTGATTCAATTCCTTTAACCTGGAGAGAAAATTAATATAATGGCATTAGTAAATTATTATCTACACTCTACCAGACATGGGTGTTAAATACTGGATCCCATTTCTTTCTTTCTTTTTTATTTATTTTTTGCATTCTTTAATTTAAATTCAAGTTAGTTAACATACTGTGTAGTATTGGCTTCAGGAGTAGAACACAGTGATTCATCACTTACATATAATACCTTGCTCATAATTCTATTTCTATTGGACGAGGTGCTCTTTAAATAAAACCAATAGTAATAACCATAGGCCTAGTCAAACATGATGTGCCAGAGACCTTAGAAGTCAGTAGGGTGATCTATAATTTGGGGAAAGATGGCACTGTTTAAATATTGTGGCGAACAAAGTCCTGAGTGCCTAAATCTTAACAGTCAGGGGACAGAGATTTTTATTCAGGATTAATTAAAAGCATAAATGTATAACAGAGGAAAATTCCAGCCTATCTGTCTACCACCCTCATCTTTGGAAATCCACACTAAGTCACAGTCCAAACTGGGCTCAGAGCAGTACAAAGGTGGTTGTGGAGACTTTGCTATTACCTATTTTCAGAAGCAAAGTTGGTTGCTGGAGGTGATAGTATATACAAGGATAATATCCACAAAGAAAGGTTAAATTGGGTTCCTCTCTTAGCTCTCTTGTCCTGAAACTGGTTACTTTGGTGCTGGTCCAGGGACTCACCCCTTCACAAAGCTGTCTGAAGTCCCTCCTGATTTGGCAGCCGTCAGGTTCTTGGCTTCTTTGATCCACACCTGGAGCTCTCCCCCTTCCCCATCTTTACCTGTAAGGGATGTCACCCATAGCAAGTGAGCCTCTACACCTTCAGACTTGTCTTGATCTTTATCTACAAAGGACCTACCATCCCTTGCCCCTAAAGGCAGCAAGCTCCATGACAATTGGACCACACCTGACTTGTAGTCTCAGGACCTAACACAGTGCCTGACAGTAAGCAACAGGTGCTCAATTAATAAGAACAATAGCAACAAATGCTTTTAGAAAACTGGCTATGTGCCAGATCCTACATTAAGCATTTAATTCTCAATGCAACCATATAAGATAGGTACTATTATTCCTATTTTATAGATGAGAAAATGGGGGCTTAGAGAAATAAAGTTGCCTAATATTTGTTGAATGATTTTTAAAAAGGGAATTCCTCTACCTGTGTTCTTGATCACATGCCCACTTCACAGGACTCATCAGGCATCATCAATTTCAACCCCCACTTCCCATTTTTAATATCTTTCTCTACCAGTCCTATCCCCTCAGTCTAAATATATGCTAATCTCACCTCTTCTCTTAAAAATCCTTTTAAAAGAAAATCTTCCTTTACCCTTATCACCTTCTCAAACTATCCTCCACGTGTCTCCTTTCTTTCACCATCAAAAATCCTGAAAGAGGGGCGCCTGGGTAGCTCAGTTGGTTAAGCGTCCGACTTCAGCTCAGGTCATGATCTCACGGTTCGTGGGTTCGAGCCCCACATCAGGCTCTGTGCTGACAGCTAGTTCAGAGGCTGGAGCCTGTTTAGGATTCTGTGTCTCCCTCTCTCTCTGACCTCTCCCCTGCTCATGCTGTCTCTCTCTCTCTCTCTCTCTCTCTCTCTTTCTCTCTCTCTCTCAGAAATAAATAAAAAAACATTAGTTTTTTTTTTTTTAATCCTGAAAGAAAGAGTCCACGTTCACTACTTCTACTTCTTTGCTTCATTCACTCAGGCTAGTTTCTGGTGAAATCTGGCTTCTGCTTCTACTTATCCACTAAAAATACAACCTAATGCCAATGTGCCATGTCTTCTCAATCGTTATCGGCCTGATATCCAGTAGTATTTCAATACCATTGATGACCTCCACTCTTTTCTTCTTCAAGATCTTTCTTAATAACCCTCTACCTGACTGGATTTTCTTCCTCTCTTCATCCTTTAAAATGTTGTCCTTGCTTCTCTTGTCTAGTTATTCTGTTTTCCCCTTCTTGAGAATCTCATTGATTCCCCAAATCCTATAAATTAGACCTTGCTACAGGTATCTTTCTAAGAACTTTGGCTTCCCATTGCACCAATGGATCAAATTCAACTCCTTAACATTATGTTCAAAGCCCTTTTTAGTCAGGCACTAGCCTCATCAACAATTCCAGCCCCACTCCCACATATACAAACTGTAACCCCAGTGCCACTGAAATAAGGAGTTCACTACCTCACCACTTACACACAGTCCCACATCTACCATGCCTTTTTATAACCTTTGCTCATGCTTTCTCTTCTGGAACTGCTCTTCTCACCCCATCTTCTTTCTTTGCTTCCTGGTAAAATCTTAAGTCCAGTTTCATCATTACGTCCTCTTTGAAGCTCTCCCACATGTAACCGGAGAGAATTCAGCACTCCCGTTATCTGTGGTCTTTTAGCATCTGATTGTCTTACTTGCTAAACTAAGCTCTTCAAGGGAAGGCAAATATGTCTTATTCATCTACATATCCACAGTCACTAGCACAGTGTCTGGTGTGTTGATTCACTCTTCTCAACGTTGACCTTCCTGTCCCTCATACTTCACTACTCCTTGCAACCGACCTTTCTCACCCCCAAAGTTTCTGTTCTATTCTGCCCTCTTAAAAACTTGCCACAGCTGGACCAAGTTCAAGTCAATTTGATGGCCTAAAAAATGAGTGCCAAGACTAAGATATTCCCTTCTGGCTGAAAACAATGCAGAAAAGGCTTACTTAGTAGAGAAATCTTCCCTAGAAGATGATCCAGGGAGCCTCTCAATCTGGTCTCTCCAGCAGTGCTAGCCACCAGCTACACTATCTCACAGACACCCCGTACAGAACACTAAGGGCTAAATCCAGCACCCCCACCCCCCAAACTCACTCTTTTTCCGGTCACCTCCAACAGGGAGTTTGGAGGCTGGGATGTATTTCAATGAAACCACCAACTCGCCTTTGTGTGATGGCAAGCCAGTCGGGGACTCAGCACTGATCTGAAACACAGGGAAACCCGACAGGTCAAGCTGAGCTTCTCAGGACTTGTTGGGACCTCTCGCTGAGGAGATTCTAAAATTAATCCCAAGGACAGCTTCATGATGTAAGAGAATCCACCTTGTGAATACAATCCAGGGTCCCAAGGCCATGGCAGCCACAAGTTTCCAAAGCAGTTCCTTCAGAAGGAGCTGCGGAAGAACCAACAAAGTCTTCTGCAATTTCCACTATTTTGCTACTTTAGGGATATGGTTACTAGATTCCAAATACCCTCAGAAGTCTTCCAGCAAAGTTGCCACACAAACTTACAGGGACTGACACCATGATGAAGAGCCTTGCTATCAACATTATTAGTAAGAGCCAAAAAGTGGGGACAACCTAAATGGCGATCAACATAGGAAAAGTTAAATGAGTGAGTTTAATGCCACGTATGGCATATGGATTATGGCATGCAATCATCAAAAAGAATGCAGGGAATCCATACATGCTGACTCGGAAAGATAGCCAAGAAAGGCAAATGCAGAAAAAAGTAGCCCACTTTTATTAAAATATGTTCCTGTTTGTACATGTAATATATATGTATATAAATAATGATTACCACTTATATACTAGTTACTATGTGCCAGGCACTGTTATAAGTACTTTAAGTATATCATTTTGTATAATTCTCAAGATCGTCCCTATGAGATAGGTACTATTATCCCCATTTTACAGACTGTGAAACAGAGAGGTTAAGTAATTTGCCAAAGATCACACAGTTAGCAATTGGCAGAAACAGGATTCAAATTCAGACAGATTGGCTCCAGAGTCCATGGTTTTAACCACTATACTACACTGTATAGAAAAACCCAGAAAGATACATACAAACTTAACATCTGTTTATTCTACAGAGAGGAGTGGATTGGGAAAAGGAAAGAGGGCTTTCACATTTTAATGTGTGTATATCTACAGTATCTTTTTAAGGAGAAAGGTATGCTCATCCCCACAAGTGCCCTCCTCCATGTCCATCACCCTGCTTCCCCTCCCCACTTGTGGGGATGAGCACTGGGTGTTATATGGAAACCAACTTGACAAAAACTTTTAAAATAAATAAATAAATAAATAAATAAATAAATAAATAAAGAGAAAGGTATGTATCACTTGTATGATTTTCAAAGATAAAGCATATTTTTTCTAAAGACAGCTTGCACAGATTTGAGGACTAGGTAGAGGGAGCTCTGTTGCAAGGATTTGAATATGCCACAATTTATAATTTTATATTTATTTATGTTACTTTTGATTGATGGCTGTCTCCTACCACTAGAACCTAAATGCCAGGACAGAAATCACCCTAGCTTTGCTCAGCCTAGTATGCCTGACACTTAGCAAAGTACCTGGCATACAGTAGATGCTCCAGAAATATTTACTGAATGAATGTAAGAGTGTGTGAGTGAGTGAGTGAGTGAGTGAGTGAGTGAGTGAGTGAATGGAATGAGCAGTAAGTGGCCTATTATCTTTGGCTGTTGGTAGTGGAATTACTTCCCTCTATTGGCTCTCTCGGCACGGTTCTGTTCTTTATGCTTCAGTATCCAGAATATAAGCTGGTATAGACTAGACGTACCCTGTCACCTGCCTGTGTTCACTGGGGCTCCACTAACCTAGGTCCTCAGCATGGAGTATACCAATGCCAGGAAGGCATAATCTCCACTGGTTTGGAAAAATGTACCACATACCCAGAGTGCACAGTTTAATGTATGGGAGAGATACAAAAGAATAGGGAGGTGGATGCCAGGAAGAGAAAACTGAATGGAAGCAAATGGATTGCTAGGAGACACCCACACACATACATACACACACACACACACACACACATGCACGCACACACATGCACACACCCAAAGATAGATCAGAGACAATAAATGTAAAATGTTTTAAGTTAAAATAGATATGTAATACTGGAGTGGTCTATTTTTTGTTTATAAATGTCTACACAATTTAGGAATTCCTAGATCGTGAACTTCAGTAGACTCTTAAAAACTGGAGTTTAGCCTTAGCTAAAATTGGTGTACTTTTTCAGTGGCATATTTCCATTCAAGAGCAAATGCCTCCATTTTAAAGTAGTTTTTTCTTTTGATGTAAGACACTTTAATTGGCAGTGCTTCATAATGGTTTATAGTGGCATTTCCAATATAATTATTATCAACTGCAGGCCCCTGAGAGAATTATTTGTGTGCCAAATATTTAAGAAATTCTAAATGTCTAACAATGTGGATAGTTTGGTGATCATTGCTCTCCTGTTTTTATTAGTAAAGGGGAAGATTTAACATTGTTAATATTTTCTAAGGAGGGCAGGAGCTATCGAAATAGTGCATGTGTTTCCTTTGACTCAGAAATTCCACCACCAGAAATTTCTTCTACAGTTACATTCACATAAGATGGCCAAGATATAGTACTGTATAGTTTTTTTTTTTTTACAAATAGTTTACTGTCAAATTAGTTTCCACATAACACTCAGTGCTCATCCCCACAAGTGTCCTCCTCCATGCCCCTCCCCCCCTCCCCCCCACATCCATCAGTCCTCAGTTTTTGTCAGCATTCAAGAGTCTCTCATGGTTTGCCTCTCTCCCTTTCCCCCACCATTTCCGCCCTTCTTCTCCCCCTTGTTCCTCCGTCAAGTTCCTCCTAAGCCTCCTATACGTGCAAACATATGATATTTGTCCTTCTCTGCCTGACTTATTTCGCTCAGCATAACACCCTCAAGATCCATCCATGTTGCTACACATGGCCAGATTTCATTGTTTCTCATTGCCATGTAGTATTCCATGGTATAGATAAACCACATCTTCTTGATCCATTAATCAATTGATGGACACTTAGGCTCTTTCCATGTTTTAGCTATTGTAGAGAGTGCTGCAATGAACATTGGGGTACATGTGCTCCTATGCATCAGCATTTCTGTATCCCTTGGGTAAATTCCTAGCAGTGCTATTGCTGGGCCATAGGGGAGTTCTTTTGTTAGTTTCCTGAGGAACCTCCACACTGTTTTCCAGAGGGGTTGTACCAGTTTACATTCCCTACTACTGTATAGTTTTAATAGCAAAGAAAGCAAACAATTTATAATACAGGTACATGAAAGAATACTATACAGCAATGAAAATGAGATAGATATGTAAGTGATGGCATAGAAAGAGGCCCATGATAAATAATAAATTGTTAAATGAAGACACTCAAAACATGTACACAATGAGGATCATATAAGCCTATTTGTATAAAAAGGAAAAAAAATAAATCCCTAAGTGTATATCTATGCTGCTTAATCAAAAATCTCTATGAAGATATCCAAGTAGTTGATAACAGTGGTTATTTCCAGGGAATGAAATGTACTTTTCTTTTTATACAATTCTATGTTGTTTTAATTTTTAACCATGTGCACAAAAATCCTTTTATTCTTAATTTTTTAATAACCAATATATGCAGACATGGTAAAAAGCTCAAACTTTATGGAAGGGCATACAGAGAAAACTAAATTGCTCTTTCACCTCAGTCTCTCTTCCCAGAGGCAGCCACTATTACTAGCTTCTTGTCTGTCTTTCCAAAAAATAGTCTCTGTACCACCTACTATTTTTAGCATTTAAAATGCTGGTGTAAAAAAAAATGTTACCAAGGAATCTTGCCATTGAACAGTTCATATCATCAAGAAATCCTAACTCTGTTTTAGCGATTTTCTCTTAACCGCAATGAGAGTAACCTACTGAATGTTCATTATATGTCACACACTGTTTGGTACTTTGCATACAATCCTGTGAAAAGTGAATATTATTGTTAATTCTGTAGATGAGTAAACTAAGACTCACAGAAGCTAAATGATTTACCTAAGTTACTTTGTAAGAGAGGTGACTTAACTAGCTGGCAAATAACAGAACCAGGATTCAAATCCAGGTCTGCACTCAGATCCCAGGCACTACAATGTATACTGCTACACTCTCACCTGAGATGCCATCTCCAAAGTAAAATTGTTCCTGGCTTGTGTGACAAAAAACACAATAATTAGATCTCTATGAATTGCTGTATTTCCCACTGCTTTAGTGAAAAACTTAGCTTGGAAAAGGAGTATAGATTAGGATACACCCAAAAGGCTAGCTTGGAGAAGAGATGCAAGTTAGGATGTTAGGATATGCCCAAACTCTGGAATGTTATGACACAAACCTTGGCACACACACATCAAAGACTTTTCAAAGGAAAACCATGGCTTTGTCCTTTGCCTGGCCTGCATAAAAGAGATAACACACTTGTCATGCAAGTGCATTTGAAATTACTGTCCAACTCAGAAGCCCCAGCAGGGTGCGCTAGAACTCTAGAGATTACATTCAAAGACGCTACCAATATGTAACAGCAGAGGTCACTGCAGACAATGCTACCTCAGCACCAAAATGTGTAACTTATTAAAGCAGACTACCTTCCCATGTAAAGGCAGGCAGTGATCCAGTTTCTTATCAATTTTCCAGGAATCCATCTGGACCTCTGCCTCTCCAAGGAAAGTGTTTCTGCCAAAACGACCGTGATGCCAAACTGAGAACTGCAACGTCCTCTGGGCCAGGAGAGATTCTGGGATCTCATACTGCAAACAAAAGGAAAAGCCCAGGATGATTAGTTCGTGGTAATTCCTCAGAAAAGACTATTCCAAAATCTGAGCAACCATACTCAAAGTCCATAATCCTGAATACCAAATTACTTTAGTCCCTAAGAACTTTGAGTTTCCTTCATCAAACCCTCCACTTACCACTTTTCACAAAAACCTACCCTATTCCATGGAAGGAGCTGGAAAATTAATTTTTCCTTGACTGGGTGAAAGAATAATGGAACATTCAAAAAGGATTGACACAGAAACTCCTGATCCCAAATAACTTTTTAAAATGATATTTGTGGGGCGCCTGGGTGGCTTAGTCGGTTAAGCGTCCGACTTTCGCTTAGGTCATGATCTCGCGGTTCGTGGGTTCGAGCCCCGCGTCGGGCTCTGTGCTGACTGCCAGCTCAGAGCCTGGAGCCTGTTTCAGTCTGTGACTCCCTCTCTCTCTGACCCTCCCCTGCTCAAGCTGTCTCTCTCTCTCTCCTAGAAATAAATAAAACATTAAAAAAAATAAAATAAAATGATATTTGTGGTCACATGAATTACCAACCAATTTCACAACAATCTAAGCCAGATCACCTTTGTTCTCTTCTCTGGGAAGTTAGTATGTGAACAGATGCCCATGGTGCACCTTCAGAAACAGACATGGCCACTGAAAGCTATGTCAACAAGCCGTGTAACAGAGGCATTGGTATAGCTCTTAGCACATTAGACAGGACAAGTTCTACTCTCAGGGTCTAGATACTTACTCTGAGGGTCTCGTCATATAGCGGATTGATGGTGTCCCGCTTGATGCTCGTTTTTCTTTTTCCCTGGCGGGACTTGTCAGGCAGAAGATAAGTCTTTACATATCTAGAGACCAAGGAGAGAACTCAGTCATTTGTTGTCTTTTCTCAAGCCCAGTCTTCACTTCTCTGCTTTCCATATACATATGCCATGATGAAATAAAAATGCCACATCAAGCTCTCTTAGACATGTCCTTCTTGTATTTTCCCAATCCTGGTCCATCTAGGATATCTCTTCTAATCACTCTCAGTCACACCTCCCTGTCTGCCCAGGAAGTGATAACCTCAGTTCAAGAATGCCCACATAGATGCCAGGATCTGAGCTTTCAACTCAGAGCATCAGTCAGGTTCCAGAAGCACTCACGGGTTAGAGCGCTTCTTGGCTTCATCAGCATAGGCCAGCTGGTAGCACTCCTTCACATGGATGACCAGAGTCTGTGTTTGCTGCTCATACTTCAAGGAAAAGACAATCTTGCCAGTCACAAAGATGTTTCCAAAATCGCCAGCTTCACTATAGATGCTCATCATGCTGCCAATTGTACTCTGAAGATAAAGCACCCACAAACATCTGGTAAAGGCATACTCCCCCTCCCACATTGTTCACATCCTCCTTCAAAATAAAGCCACAGTCATGGAACAAAACAAAAGCTTCAGAAGCCCCTGCTGTAAGCCTGTGCTGCCAACAGGCTCGCACTCAGAGCATGAGACAGCCTAGTAGCACATTTACAATTGTTGAGGTTAATAATCAGTTCATGGCTCACCTATGCTTAGTTTCTCTTTTCCCCTTCTTTTTAAAAATTTTATTTTTAGTTTTCACCTGTCCCAGAAGGTAGACAAGGAGTACGGGTAGGATGAAACTATGGTTTTGGTGTATGTTATATATGCTAAAATGTTGGTTAGAGGGGGTCAGTTGCTCATTAAAACAAGGTGCCTCAATTATCTTTGGGTTTCTTTTATCCACCGTATCTCTATCAAGACCTATAGAAAAAGTGATTCTGTAAGAAATGGGGCGGGGCGGGGGTTGCAGTGAATCCCACCAGAGTTGAAAAGACCTCTTCTTCTCAGGTAGTAGTTGGCTCTGTAATAGAATAGAATAGAATAGAAGCCTACCATTCTATTCCTGTGTGTGAGTAGGAACAAACCCTAATCACTCTGGCTCCTGACTCTGTAACCCTTAAACACCAATCTTCATACCTCTGACAGAACTAGGCCCTACTTCTTTTTTTAATTTTTTAATGTTTTATTTATTCCTGAGAGAGAGAGAGAGAGAGCAGGGGAGGGTCAGAGAGAGAGGGAGATACAGAATCTGAAACGGGCTCCAGGCTCTGACCTGGAAGTCAGCACAGAGCCCAAGGCGGGGCTGGAACCCACGAACCGTGAGATCATGACCTGAGCCGAAGTCAGATGCTTAAACGACTGAGCCACCCAGGCGCCTCAGCCCTAATTCTTAACTATCTCTTTAACTTCATGATTCTGATTGGTATTGCTGCTCCTTAGTCATACCCTGATTCCAACTAACCCTGCCAGGGCCCCCCTCATGACAGTGTTCTTTTTCTTTTAAATGTTAACTTATTTATTTTGAGAGAGGGGGAGACAGGTAATCCCAAGCAGGCTCCAAACTGTCAGCACAGGGCTCCCTCTCACGAAGCAGGAGATCATGACCTGAGCCGAAATCAAGAGTCAGATGCTTAACTGACTGAGCCACCCGGGTGCTCCAACAACGCTTTAGAATGTGAGATTTGGAGTGGACTCTGATAAAGAAATATTACCTTGCCCACTTCATGGCCCGCCACCTTTTTAGAGGAGAAGCTATGGTTTACTCTTCACAAAGCTGTGATAAAGAATGTCTCAAGGCCTAATTACTGAATTACCTAACTACTTCCAGGGCAGAGGCTGAGGGAAATCACCTAGCTGTGCACTAAGCAACTATTATCTCAACTGCAGATATGAATAAACAAATGCATCTCACTTACCTGGAAAGAGTGACTAGGATGATTTCCCCCCGTCTTGACTCTGATTAAGAGAGATACTTCCTTCATTCCTGGTACCCAAACATGTCTGTAGCTACAGAACCAATAGAACTTACCATGGATGAACCACTTCGCATGCTGCTTCTGGCTAGCTTCTGGCGATGAAGCTTCACCAGATGGTCAATGTCTTCTTCTTCCTCTTCCTCTTCCTGTAGCAATAAATATAGATTCAGAGTTAACAAAATAAGAAAAAGTTCAAAAACTAATGAACTTCCTTTAGTGGGAGCCATAATTATTGCTAAACTCTGAGGTGTCATTGTGCACATGTATGCACATATCCTTATTTTGTGTCTCCCATTTCAGGTTTCCAAAATATATAAACTATATTCCAACCATCTTTCTCAAATCTCAAGGGACTAAGATAAGAATACCTCTTTCCTATTTGACTGCCCCAACCCAACCACCCCTTTACATTTAAATCAAAATAAGTATTTATTTGAATCCCCAACTGTATATCAAGCAATATATTCTAGGATGAGACAGTAAAGACAGTCTTTTCCTTTTTTTAAAAAATTTTTAAAAAATTTTATTTCTGAGAAAGAGAGACAGCGTAAGCAGGGGAGGATCAGAGAGAGAGACACACATACAGAATCTGAAACAGGCTCCAGGCTCTGAGCTAGCTGTCAGGACAGAGCCCAACGCGGGGCTCAAACCCACGAACCATGAGATCATGAACTGAGCTGAAGTCGGACACCCAACCGACTGAGCCACCCAGGTGCCCCAACAGTCTTTTTCTTTAAGCAATTCAGCAACGAGATTTACTTCACAATAAAGATTCATGTTGCCCTTTCCTAAAGAATTAGACAGGTTGATTAAGAGTATCAAATACTAAGGTCAACTGTAGATTTATAAAATTTCATAGAGTGGACAAGTGAAATACAAGAGCACTTACCATATCTACACTGAGACCTGGGACAGATTTGCTTCTGTCTCCCAAGGAACCACTTTCATGTCCCACATCTTCTGGGCGAAGATCAATCACAGATTTCGTATACTCTGAGTGGAAAAGCAAAAACCCAAATCAAAAGAGACCTACTCTTCTCCATACCAAGAACCCATGCAGAGTACTGAGATCTTCAATCTCAAAGGCCATGAAGGGAAACCTACCTGAAGGTCTGAGAATTTTTCTAGTGTTCTTCTTAAATATCATTTCACCCTCATCAACTGATACTGCATTTTGACTCCCAGGCTGAGTTTCCTAGGAAGGAATAAGGGCAAGGAAATGGAAAAGGACTCCTGGGTAGGTGGAGGATGAATAAGGAAAAAAATTCACTTAAGAATAAGACTCAGACTTTTGCTGAATTATGTGAATTTAAAGGAAAAATTAACCTTAGGAATTTAATCCTAGGAAGTAGTACAAAACCTATTTTCTGACATGTTTCAACCAAAACCTTAAATGCTCCCAAGAGAATTTGAACCAAAATTTGTTTAGCTGAGTTCCTGACAGAAACAATTCTTGAGAAGGGAAAAAGACAGAGAGAGAAAGAGAGAAGACCGAGAGAGACCCCAACCAACCAATACCTACAGCTTACCTTTTCTACTTGAGATGTGGGGGCAGACATCTTCTTCCATTCTGGAAAGAGTCCAGATTTATCCAGAGAGTCTCTCCTGGAGGTAGATATAGAAGTTATAACAAAATCACCTCCTCACCTTCCCCATCTATGGAAGGAGATCCACTGGCTTGGGGTCATTGTAGTAACCAAATCCAGAAGGTAAACTTCACATCTGATTTATCTTGAAGGAATGCAGACAATCAGATAAGCAACTTTGCACAAACACAAGCACTCATTCCCCCATTCCTAAGGGACAGCAGGGACCATTGCTACTAGTCCAGGAAGACTCCTCCAAGATGCAGCAGCCTGTAGAGTTACCATGCTCTAGAAGGCTGTGCTCGGAGTCCACAGTAACTGTACTACTGACAGACTTGTGGCAAGGTCAGAGAAAATACTTTGACTTGCTGAGGACAGAAGTCAGGAACACTGAAGGCACAGGACCCCTGAGCTAGACAACAAAATGGAGACTTGGGTTGAATGGAAGTACAGGGACTAGCAGGGGTTTCACCTTGACATGCTATCCGAGTCAGCTGTGTAGCTATCCAGACTCTCACTCTCAGCCTCCAGTGCACTCTTTCCACTTTTCAGCTTGGGCACTTCAAATGGCACACTAGAATAAAATCCAAGAGCCAATGTGTAAAGGAAGTGGGCTGTCCTGCTGGGAGTCAGGCTTCTTTCCAATCCATTCACAGTGGTAGCCTAAGAAATCTTTCCAAGATAAATATCTGAGTATATACCTTTAAAACTTTTCAGCAACTCCTCATTGCTATTGGGATTGAGTTCAAACTCCTTAGCATGGCAAGAAAATCCTTATGATTTTGACCCCTGCTCACTTCTCCAGACTCATCTTTCACCCTCAACCTCTCCTTATATTTACATTTCCAGAATGATTAAGCTCTTTTGGTTCTTTGAATATGCCAAAGTTCTCCCTTTTGCTTTTGTCTCTGCCTGGGATGTTCTTTTTACAATGAGGACTTTTCTTCACCTGGCTAAATCAACTCCTGCTTCAGGTCTCTCCTTGTATGTCAATTCCTCTAGGTCTCTCTGACTATGCTCCCACCCCAAGTCTAGATTAGTAACCTTATATGCTCGTAAAGCACCCTGATTTCTTGGTAGCAGTCATCACATATGTAATTATTTATGTCTTTCAAACAAATTATTTAATTTATTCAATAATTTAAACAAATGACTTATTTAATGTCTTTCCCCTCCATTAGACTAAGTTCTGTGAGATCAGTGACCACATATCTTTCTCACTGCTGTGTTCCCAATGCCTAGAAGAGAAACTACCATACAGGGGGGCACTCATATATTTGTTTACTGAATATTCTCAGTGGGGCTTAATGTATGCACATAAATAAGTAGTATGTTTCAAAGACAGTATTCAGAAGACCAGAATTCTTTCTCAGCTTAATGAATGGGCATTCAAAATAGTAGTTCTCATCTCTAAAGGGAAGGACTCAATTTCTGGGCCTCAAGGAATTTGTGAGAGCAGTTAAGAAAAGGGGAAAATTGTTCTTCCTCAATAATCTCAACTAATTTCACTTGATTGCCAGGACATGACACTCGTCTGGTCCTCTGACCTTGCTGGGGTCTCCTTCTCAGGTTCCTTTGCTGGTCCTTCATCTCCTAGACCCCTAATCTTCGGATTGTGTCCAGGTTTATTCCTTAGACTGCTTCTCTTCACTATCTAGAATTATCCCTAAATGATCTCATCTAGTCTCATGGCTTTAAATATCCTCTATAAACTAATAATTCCTAAATTTATCTCTCACTCAAATTCCAGGCTTGTATTTCCAACAGCCTATTTGACATCTCTGTTTGGATGTCTCAAACACAGCAAGTATAAGATTAAGGCCCTAATCCTCCTCCAAATCTGCTCTTCCCTCAATTTCATCAACTGACAACTTCCTCCTTTCATTCTCTGGTCAAAGATCTTGATTTTCCTGGACTCTCCTTATTCTCTTACAATGCAAATCCTATCTTTTAGCAAATATTCTTCGCTCTCTATTCTTTTTTTAATGTTTGTTTATTTTAAGAGAAAGAGGTAGAGAGAGAGCAGTGGACGGGCAGGGAGAGAGGGAGACAGAAAGTCCTAAGCAGGCTCTGTACTGCTAGTGCAGAACTGGCATGGGGCTCAAACTCATGAACTATGAGATCATGACCTGACCTGAAATCAAGAATCAGATGCTTAACTGATAGAGCCACCCAGGTAACCCCTGGCTCTGTCTTCAATTATATCTAGAATCTGACCAGTTCTTGTCCCCTCCACTGCCACTACTTTTGGTCCAAACCACCATCATCTAGCTACTGGATGATCACAATAGCCTCCTGACTGAACTCCCTGCTTCAACCCTAGTCCCTACTCAATACAACAGTCAAAACAAGATTTAAAATATAAATCCAAATATAAATTACCATATGACCCAGCAATTCCACTTCTCAGTATATACCCGAGAGAGCTAAAAACATGTGTCCATACAAAAACTTGTACATGAATATTCATAGCAGCATTATTTACAATAGCCAACAGGTGGAAACAGTCTAAATGTCAACAAATGGGTGAATGGATAAACAAAATGCAGTATATCCATACAATAAAACATTATTGTAAATAAAAAGAAATGAAGTTTTGATACACGCTACAATGCAGATGAACCTTGAAAATATTATGCTAAGTGAAAGAAGCAAGACACATTTTGCATGACTCCATTTATGAAAGATCTAGAATAGGTAAATCTGTGTCTCTAGAAAGGAAATTAGGGACTGGAGGAAATGGGGAGCAACCTCTTAATATATGTTATGTGAATTTTACCTCAGTTTAAACAAAGAAAAAAAGATCATGTCACTCAGAGTCCTCCTCATACGGAGTGAAAGACAGGGTCCTCACAGGTGCCAACAAAGTCTTCCATGATCTGCTTCTCATCCCTTCTCTGTCCTCATCTCCTACCACTCTCCCCTTGCTTATTCAGTTCCAGATTACCCAACCATGCCAAATATAAACTCACCTTCAGGTCTTTATATCTTCTGCTTTCTCTGCCCACGGTGCTCTTTCCCCGTGTACTCCCAGGGATTGCCCCCTCATTTGCTTCATGTCTTTGCTCAGAGGCACCTTATTATTAAGACTTTTCCCTGGCTACCCTAAGTGAAACAGCATATATACACACATGTTTTCCTGGCACTCCCTAACCCTTTAGCCTACTTCATTTTCTCCATAGCACTTGTCAACATCTGATATAATATATTTATTCATTGCCTGTGTCTACCCACCCCCAAAAGGACTAAGTTCCACAAGCAAGAGACTTTATTGTATTTACCAATGAATCCCACAGCCTAAAACAATGCCTGGCAAATAGTAGACATTCATACATATTTGTTCAAAAAAATGAGCAAACTAATAAACAAAGAACAAAGTAACCAGAATCTATAATGTCTTAGACAGTACATAATAAACTTTCCAGGTTATCACATGATGTTTGCAAACACTTTATGAAAACAGACAGCACGTTTGGATCTCCTAGGGTGTGTGTGAAACAGTGGTCATTTCATGAGAGATGTATTAGTTTTATAGTCCAAGGCACAGGAGGGAAGTGGATTTCATTTTTACTTTAAAATCATTCTTTTTACCCCTTTGCTCCAAAGAGTAAAGAACCCAAAGAGGAACCAGTCCTCTAGAGAAGTAGTTCAACAATAGCTCATAGAGTGTGTTTTCTGCTTGTATTTTTCCTAAAGATTAACATGTACTAATCCAGAGCTGATACAAATAACCCTAGGGTAAAAAGGCAATTATTGACATCTGCGCAGTAAAAAATAGACCACGATATGGGAGTCCTGGGCTCTAACTGTATAATCTCAGGTTAATCACTTATCTTGCTTTCTTTTCTGTAAAAATAAGAGGGCTGAATTTGATTACTTCTGAGGCTCCATAATTTTATGGCGAAGATCATTTATGGCCACTTAATCTCCTTCCATGTTTAGGATAAATAAGTCTTCTGGGTCCAATGAGACAAGAGGTCATAGACAGCCAGAAACAGCAGGTTTCAGAAATTACATTCTGACCAATGATGTCAGATTGTTAATCATATTCAGTAAATAAAAGCCATTCTTATCCTTATCCACAATATCCTTATGCACAAAGGAAAAAGGGAGCCTCATCACCTAGAACAGATGAGTCACCCACCCCAAGCTGTGTGAATAAAATCATAGTACATACATACAATGAAACACCATACAGATAGCAAAAAAAAAAAATATGCCAGACCCTTGATGCTGACATGGAAGTATGTTGATGTTATATTTTTCTGTAATTGTTCCTTTTACACCTTGAGTTATAACTATATAAATAAATTGAACATGTTTAAGTGCGCAATTGGATGAGTTTTAACATATACATACATGTGTGAAACCATCACCACAATTAAGATAGTGAACCTATTTATCACTCTCAAAAGCTTCCTCTTGCCCCTTCATAATCCATTCCTTACTCTTGGACAGAAAGCGTTGATCTGCTTTCTGCCACTAAAATTTGGATTGCATTTTCTACAATTTTATATAAATAGAATCATACAGTATATCTTCTCTTTTGCTTGGCTTTTTTTTTTTTCACTCAGCATGATTATTTTGAGATTCATCCATGTTGTTTGTATCAACAGTTTATTCCTTTTCAGTGCTGAGTAGTATTCCACTGTACAAACAAGCCACTATTTATCCCTTCAACTATTGATAGACATCTGAGTTGTTTCCAGCATTTGGCTATTACAAATAAAGCTGCTATGAACATTCACCTACAAGTCTTTGAACGGACATACGCTTTTGCTTCTCTGGAGTAAATACTTAGGAATGGGATGGCTGAATCACAAGGTAGTGCACATTTAACTAAACTACTAATAAGCTGTTTTTCCAAGTGGCTGCACTGTTACACGTTCCCACCAGCAGTGTATGAGAATTCCAGTTGCTTTATAATCTCACCAACAATTGGTATGATCTGTTTTTTAATTTTAGCTATTCTTGTGGGTATACAGTTGTATCTTATTATGATTTTAATTTGCATTTCTCTAATAACTAAAGATGTTGAGCATCTATTTTGTGCTCATTTGACATCTACATAGTGTCTTTGGCAAAATGTCTGTTCAATTACTTTGCCAATTTTTACTGGATTATCTATATTACGGAGTTTTCAGCGTTCTTTCACTTTCATTTATTATCACTTAACATGTATTCAGTATGACCCTTTCTTTAAAAAGAAATGAAAAGGGGCACCTGGGTGGCTCAGTCGGTTAAGCCTCCGACTTCGGCTCAGGTCATGATCTCACTGTTCGTGGGTTCAAGCCACATGTCGGGCTCTGTGCTGACAGCCAGCTCAGAGCCTGGAGCCTGTTTCAGATTCTGTGTCTCCACCTCTCTCTGACCCTCCCCTGCTCATGCTGTCTCTCTCTCTCACAAATAAAAACAGAAAGAGAAAAAAGAAATGAAAAATTTAAGAATCCAACCCGTATTTATATATTTAGACAGTATGGTAGTCCATACACTGAAGTTAGTAATGAGTATTAGTAATAGTAGTCTAAGGCAGAAGCAGTGAGGCTACAGGGGACTTATTTTACATATTCTATATTAACAATCATATAAAATATGATTAAGTCATTTCTCTTTGGCTGAGGGAAATTTAGGGAAAAAAACACAAATAAAGGCCAAAATATTCACCAGAAGCAGCCAAATAAGGAGTAAAGCCTCAAGTCATAAGTTCAAAAGGTCAAAGCTAAGGAAACAGAAGAAAGATTTAGTTCAGGGGCACCTGGGTGGCTCAGTCAGTTAAGCATCCGACTTCAGCTCAGGTCATGATCTCAACCATTTGTGGGTTTGAGCCCCACGTTGGGCTCTGTGGTCATAGCTCAGAGCCTGGAGCCTGCTTCGGATTCTGTGTCTCCCTTTCTGTCTCATCTCTGCTCACATGCTTGCTCTCTCTCAAAAATATATAAACATTAAATAATTGAAAAACTGCAGATGATTTATGGTTGCATAGCAGAATGTAAATGCTATAAGTAGCAAAGCAAAAGTAATTTGAGTAATAAAAAATGGAAGTAGGGGAAAGCATTGAGGGAAATATAAGAAAGCTAATTTCCTCCTCTTTCATATCAGAGAGTCCACTGATTATACTGAAACAGGTAGATTTTTTTAAATGACTAAATGACTGACCAGGCATTCCACTGCTAGGTATCTACCTAAGAGAAATTCAAATGTATGTTCATACAAAAACTCATAATGAAAGTTCATAGCCACATTACTCATAATAGCAAAAGTGAAAGCAACCCAAATGTCCATCAACAGATGAATGGATAAATAAATGTGGTATATACATATAATAGGATACTGTTTGGAAATGAACTCCTGATACTTGCTATAACACGGATGAACCCTGAAAACATTATATTAAGTGAGAGAAGACAGTGACAAAGGCAACTTTGATTCTATTTAAATGAAATGTCCAGAATAGGCAAATATATAGAAATAAAAAGTAGATAACTGATTGCTGAGGGATGTGGAAGGAAAAGGAGGTTAGGGGGAGTGACAGCTAAAGAGTACAAGGTTTCTTATTAAGGTGATGAAAAGTTCTAAAATCAATTGAGGTGATGGTTGCACAATTATGTGAACATACTAGAAACCACTGCATTATACACTATAAATGGGTGAATTGTACGGTTATGTGAATTATATCTCAATAAGGCTGTTGAAAAAAGATAATAGGAAAAAAATGACTGCTCAATGGTTTTTATGATATTTTTTCCCTTAAACTTAGAGGGATGTTAGTGACTAATATCTTTTATGGTAAAGAACTATTTGTTTGAAGATTAGCAATTCTTCAATTTTATTTCAGTGTTTTATTCTATTAAATTCAAGTAAAATTAAATAGCATGCTTTTAACGTATATATTATGATCCAATATTATGCAGATGTTTCAGTCTATCTATCCACCCATCCTTCTAATTACATATATGTACAAAAGATATTGGAAATAATTTTTACATGTGAATACTGGGGTAGTAGGAATTTGGGTGATTTGTTGTTTTCTTTATTGTTTCCCATATGGGTTAAATTTTTAATGATAACTACGTGTTATTTTTATTCATCTTTAAATTGTTCTTAAAAGAACAGAGTAAATGTGCCAAAATGTTAATGTTGAATGTGGGTAGCAGGATTAGGATTTTTTCTCTTCTTCTTTATTCTTTTCTATATAAGTTTTCCTGTAATAATACTTTACAAATAGCTATTATTTTCTAAACAGAAGAAAGTTAAAAATGAGAGAATTAAAAGAATGTGTAGCATTTCCAAAAGTGATTGCTAGTTCTTACCGGGGTTCCTTCTGTTGCTCCTCAATGATCTTTCTTCCTGGCCAGATATCATCCATCTGTGACTGATAAAGAAGGGACTGTGCCACTGTCTCTCTTTTATTCACTTCAAGACAAACAAAAGAATGGCAGGGTGGTGGTCGTGAGGGGAGGAAAGGAAACACATCACACTTGCAGAAGGGATAGCAATATAATCTTTATATTCCCCCATAGAGCCCATGAAGTGAAGCTACCACCAATAAGAATATTAATAGGATTCCACACCAGAGCATCTATCACTGAAGCCAAGTACCTAAAAAAACGTTGTTGTTTTTTTTCCCAGAAAGGTCCAGAACCTGCTGCGGCCCAAGCAGTGGCGGAGTCACAACCAGCGATGGGACTGAAGCTGCTAAGTTCTCCTCCCTAGTGCGGGGACCTCGGACCCCAGGTTGTATCTTTACTTGACCCCAGCAGATCTGAGGCTGCGACACTTCCCCTACCCCCACTCAACCCCCACCAGCAGGGAAGCAGAGACCTGCAGGAGTGTTTCAGGAGGTATAAAAAAAGCTCTCAGACTGGGACCTGGAAACAAGGAGGGGCGTGGGGCATAGATCAGCCACCATGGCTACGTCCTCAGCACAGGGAGATCCGACCAAAAGGAGTGATATGCAATGCTTAGCTGAGAAAGGAAAGGGCCGACACCATTTTTCTACCCACAACCACCAAAGCAGGGCCTCAGGGAGCAGCCACTTGGACACAGTTGAGGCTAGAACTGCCTACATCAAACCACGACAATCCCAGCCAGAGAGCTGTCTTGTTGTTGTTGTTGTTGTTGTCGTTGTTTTTACCTGAGCCTGGGTTTGCGTGTTTATTGGTTTTGTCTGTGTGTTTGTGTACCTTGGCTCCCTGTGTGGTTGTCTGTTTTCTTTTTCCAGGGCTACCAAAAAAACAAGCCGAAGTACACATGGTGGAGAGTCCAAAATACCCCTACGAGCAGGGAAACAAAATAACCAAACTCTCAACAAGAGAGACCAAGAGACGCCATTCACAGAACACTTCCTGAATGGACAGGGACTGAACAGTCAAAGAGCCCTCTTTAATACAGCAGAACTTGCAAGGGCAGAGTGTACAACAAGATTTTAAAATTAGCAAGAGATAGAAAACTAACCAAAATGACGAAACAGAAAAACTCTCCTCCAAAGATATTCCAGGAAGAACTGACAGCTAAAGAACTTCTCAAAACAGGTATAAGCAACATAACTGAACAACAATTTAGAACAATAGTCATAAAATTTATCGCTGGGCTTGGAAAAAGCATGGAAGACATCAGAGAAACTATTGCTACAAACACTATGGAGCTCAAAATTAGTTATGATGAATTTAAAAAATGCTATAAATGAGATACATAATAAAATGGAGGCGTCCAATGCACGGGTTGAAGAGGCAAAAAGGTGAATAAGTGATTTAGAAGACACAATTATAAAAAAGAGGAAGCTTAGAAAAAGAGAGATAAACTGATCCAGGAGCACGAAAGAAGAGTTTGAGAGCTCAGCGATACAATCAAATGGAACAATATCCATATCACAGGAATCCCAGAAGAGGAAGAGAGAGGGAAAGGTGCTGAAGGAGTCCTGGAACAAATTATAGCAGAGAACTTCCCCAACCTGGGGAGGGAAGTAGATGTTGAAATTCAAGAGACACAGAGAACTATCCTCAAACGTAACTTGAATCGATCTTCTGCACGACATATCATAGCGACTGGCAAAATATCAGGACAAAGGGAAAATTTTGAAAGCAGCTAGGGAGAAAAGGGCTCTAACATCCAAAGGGAAACCTATCAGAGTGGGGACAGACCTATCTACTGAAACTTGGCAGGCCAGAAAGGAACGGCAGGAGATCTTCAATGTGATGAAGAGAAAAAATATGCAGCCAAGAATCCTCTATCCAGCAAGCCTGTCATTCAGAATAGAAGGAGAGATAAAAGTCTTTCCAAATAAACAAAAATTGAAAGAATTTGTCACCACTACACAAGCCCTACAAGAAACCCTGAGGGGGACTCTCTGAGGGAAATGTTGCAAGGAACACACGATACCAGATACCACCATAGGCATGAATCCCACAAAGGACACAATAACTCCAAACCCATATTTTTCAATAATAAGACTAAATGTAAGTGGACTAAATGCTCCAATCAAAAGACATAGGGTAGCAGAATGGATTTAAAAACCAAAATCCATCTATTTGCTGTCTACAAGAAATGCATTTTAGACTGGAGGACACCTTCAGATTAAAAGTATGGGGATAGAGAAATATATATCATGCTACTGGAAGTAAAAAAAAAAAAAGCTAGAGTAGCTATACGTATATCAGACAAACTGGACTTTAAAGACAGTAACAAGGGATGAAAAAGGGCATTATATAATAATTAAAGGGTCTATCCATTAGGAAGAACTAACAAACATACATGTCTATGCACCGAATATGGGAGCACCTAAATATTAAAAACAATTAATCACAAACAGAAACAATCTCATCGATAAGAATGGGTTAATAACAGGGGACGTTAATACTCCACTTACATCAATGGATACATCAACTAGACAAAAAATCATTAAGAAACAATGGACTTGAATGACACATTGGACCAGATGGATCTGACAGATATATTTAGAACACTACATCCTAAAGCCATGGAATTCACTTTCTTCTCAAGTGCACATGGCACATTTTCCAAGATAGATCACATACTGGGACATAAAGCAGCCCTCAATAAATACAAGAGAATTGAGATCATACCATGCACACTTTCAGATCCCAATGCTATGAAACTCGAAATCAATCACAGGAAGAAGTCTGGAAAACCTCCAAAAACATGGAGGTTAAAGAACACCCTACTAAACAATGAATGGGACAACGAGACAATTAGAGAAGAAATTTAAAAATATATGGAAACAAATGAAAATGAAAATACAGCAATCCAAACTATGGGATGCGGCAAAGGCAGTCCTAAGAGGAAAGTACATTGCTCTCCAGGCCTATTTCAAGAGATTAGAAAAAGCGCAAGTGCAAAATCTAACAGCTCACCTAAAGGAACTAGAGGCAGAGCAACAAGAGCACCCTAAACCCAGTAGAAAAAGAGAAATAGTAAAAATTAGAGCAGAAATAAACAACATAGAGACCAAAGAAACCATTGAACAGATCAATGAAACCAAGAGTTGGTTTTTTGAAAAAGTAAACAAAATTGACAAACCTCTAGCCAGACTTATCAAAAAGAAAAGAGAGAGCACCCAAATAGACAAAATTATGAATGAAAATGGACTTATTACAACCAACCCCTCAGAAATACAAGCAATTATCAGGGAATACTATGAAAAATTATATGCCAACAAATTGGACAACTTAGAANAATGGACAGATTCCTAAACACACACTCACAAAATTCACATGGGAAGTGATAGAAAATCTGAACAAACCCATAACTAGTGAAGAAATTGAATCAGTTATCCAAAATCTCCCAACAAATAAGAGCCCTGGGCCAGATGGCTTCCCTGGGGAATTCTACCAGACATTTAAAACAGAATTATAAAACATGATTAATAACCATTCTTCTCAAGCTATTTCAAAAAATAGAAATCGAAGGAAAACTTTCAGACTCAATTTATGAGGCCAGCATCACTTTGATTCCCAAGCCAGACAGAGACCCAGCAAAAAAAGAGAACTACAGGCCAATATCCCTGATGAATACAGATGCAAAACTCCTCAACAAGATACTTGCAAATCAAATTCAACAACACATAAAAAGAATTATCCACCAAGATCAAGTGGTATTCATTCCTGGGTTACAGGGCTGGTTCCATATTCAAAATCAATCAATGTGATCCATCACATCAATAAAAGAAAAGATAAAAACCATATGATCCTGTCGACAGATACAGAATAAACATTTGACCTAATACAGCATCCCTTCTTAACAAAGACCCTCGAGAAAGTCGGGATAGAAAGAACTTACTTAAACATCATAAAAGCCACCTATGAGAAGCCCTCAGCTAACATCATCCTCAACAGGGAAAAACTGAGAGCTTTCCCCCTGACATCAGGAACACGACAGGGATGTCCACTCTCACCACTGTTGTTTAACAGAGTGCTGGAAGTCCTAGCATCAGCCATCAGACAACAAAAGGAAATAAAGTCATCAGAATTGGCAAAGAAGAAGTCAAACTCTCACTTTTTGCAGAAGACAGGATATTCTACGTAGAAAACCTGACAGAACCCACCAGAAGCCTACTAGAACTGATCCAAGAATTCAGCAAAGTTGCAGGATACAAAATCAATGTACAGAACTCGGTTGCATTTTAATACACCAACAATGAAACAGCAGAAAGAGAAATCAAGAAACTAATCCCATTCACAATTTCACAAAAAAACATAAGATACCTAGGAATAAATCTCACCAAATATATAAGAGTTCTGTTGATGAAAAATATAGAAAACATATGAAGGAACTTGAAGAAGACCCAAAGAAATGGAAAAACATTCCATGCTCATGGATTGATAGAACAAACATAGTTAAAATGTCATTACTACCCAAAGCAATCTACACATTCAATGCAATCAAAATGGCACCAGCATTCTTCTCAAAATTAGAACAAGCTATCCTCAAATTTGTATGGAAATACAAAAAACCCCGAATAGCCAAAGTAATATTGAAGAAGAAAACAAAAATGGGAGGCATCACCATCCCAGACTTTAGCCTCTACTACAAAGCTGTCATCATCAAGACAATATGGTATTGGCACAAAAACAGACACATAGACCAATGGAACAGAATTGAGAAATCAGAAGTGGAACCAAAAGTATATAGCCAACTAACCTTTGACAAAGCAGGAAAGAGTATCCAATGGAAAAAAGACACCCTCTTTAATAGATGGTGCTGGGAGATCTGGACAGCAACATACAGAAAATGAAAGTAGATCATTTTCTCACAGCATACACAAAAATAAACTCAAAATGGATAAAGGACCTGAATGTGAGACAGGAAACCATCAAAATCCTAGAAGAGAAAGCAGGAAACCACCTCCTTGACCTCAACTGCGGCAATTTCTTGCTCAACACATCCCCAAAGGCAAGGGAATCAAGAGCAAAAATGAATTATTGGGACCTCATCAAAATTAAAAGCTTCTGCACGGCAAAGGAAACAATCTACAAAACTAATAGGCAACCGACAGAATGGGAAAGATAGTTGCAAATGACATATTAGATAAAGGGTTAGTATCCAAAATCTATAAGGAACTCACCAAACTCCATACTTGAAAAACAAACAATCCAGTGAAGACATAGGCAGCAGACATGAACAGACACTTCTCCAAAGAGGACATCCAGATGGCCAACAGACACATGAAACAATGCTCAGCATCCCTCTTTATCAGGGAAATACAAATCAAAACCACACTGAGATACCAACTCACGCTGGTCAGAGTGGCTAATATGAGCAAATCAGAGAACTCTAGATGCTGGCGAGGATGTGGAGAAATGGGCACCCTCTTACACTGTTGGTGGGAATGTCAGCTGTTACAGCCCCTCTGGAAAACTGTATGGAGGTTCCTCAAAAAATTAACACTAGAACTCCCCTATGACACTGCTATAGCACTGCTAGGAATTTACCCAAGGGATACAGGAGTGCTGATGCATAGGGGCACATGAACCCCAATATTCATTGCAGCACTCTCCACAATAGCCAAAACATGGAAAGAGCCTAAGTGTCCATCAACTGATGAATGGATTAAGGAGATGTGGTTTATTTATACAATGGAATACTACATGGCAATGAGAAAGAATGAAATCTGGCCATGTGTAGCAACATGGATGGACCTTGAGGGTGTTATGCTGAATGAAATAAGTCAGGCAGATGACAGATACTATATGTTTGCACGTATAGGAGGATTAGGAGGAACTTAACAGACCATAGGGGAGAAGAAGGGAGGAAAAATAGTGGGGGAGAGGGAGGGAGGCAAACCATGAGAGACTCTTGAATGCTGAGAACAAACTGATGGCAGATGGGGTGGGGGGATGGGAAGGGGGGTGATGGGCATAGAGGAGGGTACTTGTGGGGATGAGCACTGGGTGTTATATGGAAACCAACTTGACAATAAACTATTAAAAATAAATAAATAATAAATTAAGAAAAATCACACCTAAAAAAAAAAAAAGAAAGGTCCATTACCTGTGGGTTTGCGGCGCAGGGACATCCTAATTATCTCACTGCCTGTGTGGTAAGCAAAGCGATTCACTTTCTGGTCATAAAACCAGTCACCGGTCGCCTTCTTCAGTTCTCTAGGA